TTAGACGTGAAAATGGTGATGCAGGACGTTGAAGAAGAACAAGGAGAAGTACTTCTTGGTTATCACAGCGAAAAGCTTGCAATTGCCTACGGCATCATGAGCACAACTCCTGGGATACCAATTCGGATAATGAAGAACCTGAGAGTGTGTACAGATTGTCATAACTTTATTAAATATACTTCTCAGCTTTTAGATAGGGAAATAATTGTGAGAGATCTTCATCGGTTCCATCACTTTAAACATGGTCTGTGCTCCTGTGGAGATTGCTGGTAAGGTTCTAATATATATATATATATATATTTGTGCAAGTCATTCTACTGATGCTCTGGGTCATTTTCCATAATCGCCAAGCAAGTTCAAAAGAAATATTTTTCTTTTTGTCACTGAAAATAGAATGGTGATCAAGTAGTATCATCTTGAAGGAGCCTGTTATGAACAAGCTCGAGTCAGCCTCAGAGTTTGTTGATTGCTGTTCATGTTGCAACCACAGGCAGAGGGACACAAGGTATAAGGGTAATTTATCCCTTTACGGTAGGTGACACAACACAACTGTAGCTTTCTTCACTCAACGACTCTGTTTTCCTATTCTTCCAATCAATCATATATGCCCTGCTTCTAAGAAATACCGCAATTGGTCTTCTTCCTAGCTCCTAGCCATGAGATTGATTGTAACCAAGAAAGATGGCTTCGTATGCACTACTTGAAGGTAGAGTCCAAATTAAGTAAAGGAAAGAAAAGAAAAGAAAAGAAAAGAAAAGGAGAGAGATGTGGAAATTGGTGGCTTATTGTATAAGAGAGGTAAGTGAAGTGGAGAACCCGACCCACTTTTAGAATCTTCAATAGAAAAGTGGTTTATGTTATGTCATTGTTTCTACTCTACTTGTGTTTATAATACATCATATATATACGTGTGTGTGGGTTGGGAATGGGTTGTTTAGGTTAAACTTGTCAACCGAAACCTTATTAATGTTTATTTGACGTCCAAACATAGCCATCACTTGGAGTTTTGCAAACACTAATTTGTTTATCCCTCCATCTCTACCAAACAGACTTGCATATGTAACTTCACTTTTTTATACGCAAAATTATTGAAACTTGATAACAAAGCCAACCTGCATACTATTAGAACAAGCCATTCCCACTCCGAACGTTGCACTTCCCCAACCACCCGTTCTCCACATTGCTCTCTCTCTCTCTCTCTCTCTCTCTCTCTCGCTGTTTAATGGAAATATGAGAGAACGAATGGAAAGACTGGTTCTTCTTCCTTTCACATTTGGTTGTGTTTCTGAGTCTAGCGTTGCTGTTGGTGTACAGCCGCCCAGAAGATCAAAATCAGACACAATTCCATCTCCAATAAGTCTGTCTCAAACTCTCTCTCTTTCTCTCTCTCTCTCTCTGTCTCACACACACACACACACATATATAACTCACACATCCAGTGTCTCTCTCTAATCAGCTAGCTTATCTGTTTTTCTTTTCTCAATGGTCTGGTGAAGGAACTAAAGAAGTAGGAGATGAAGAAGAGGAAGAAGATAGCTTATCAGGTGAAAGCACGAAGAACTCATTTAGATCCTTGTCCCTTCCAAAACCAAACATATCTACCAGTGGTATTCACAGGCTCTTCAAGGGTTTCAAGAATTTCTCTCAGATATTTGGTAAGTCTCTCAACAAATGGGTGATTTGATTTGGCAATTATCATTTGCTTGTTAATTATCTCTACTTACTGCTCTCGTGCCCATTTCATTTCCTTGATAGTGTACAAGGATGATGATATGGAAGAAGTAATGGAAATGGATATGGAAATAGGGGGTCCCACGGATGTGAAGCATGTGACACACATAGGCTGGGATGGTTCTGCTTCTGCTGCATCTGCAACGACTGACCCCATTAGGGGATGGGATAATCTCATATCTCCTGATCTGCTCTCTGTTTCCCCTGTTTCTTGGAGCCAATTTGAGCTCTCTATGCCTTCCCAAGCTGATGTTGCAGTTCCTCTCGTTAACGGCTCTTCCTCTTAAATCGTCTAAAAGAGATTGGTGGACTGAGGATGTGATTATATTTAAGACTATAAATCAATGTCATTGCCAAGTCCAAATCGGAATTCTATATCTCCCCCCTGTACTTACATTTCCATTATGGTAGGCAGTACGTACATTTCCATTATGGTTTTCTGAAGCTTTTTAATGGTGTAATGAGTGATGATGACTACTATGTATGGCTTTGTAATTATATGGCATCTCATACACACTATATATATATATATATATACACACTTTGCACCTAATACAATTATCAATTTATAAATACATGCAATTGACTTTAAATTTGTAATGATCAACAACAGAGCTTCCAAGATTGATAATTATCTATTGCCATTCAAATAGATAATTTATCTTCGCAGACAAGTAATTAAAATGGCAAGTTGAAGACGAGTGAGTAGTTGTGAGCGAGAGAGAGAAAGTGGTAAACATAAAGAATATAGATAGATCTTCACAAACAATATAGCATACATCATTCATTACATGAGTCATTACAGTTTGAAGCAAATAAAATAAGCAAACCTACTTGACGTAGTAAGGAAGGTTTACAACATAGAGGAGGAAGTAGGCCCAAGTAACACCTGAAATGCCTCCGAAGAAGAAGCCGCCGGTGAATTTGGCCCATCCCTCGGCGGTTTGAAGCTGGTCGGGCTCCTTTTTCCGGCCAGTTAGGGTCAAAGCAGGAGCTGTGGATGGGTCTCCTTCCTTGAAGGATGCAATTCCATAGATTGTCAGGCAAAGGCTCAATATGACCACAAGACCCGCAGCAGCCAAGGAGCCAGCTCCCCCAGCATAGGGTGTGTTCCTCAATGGACCAGCCTTGACGAATGGGCCCACCAGCAAGAACCCATGAGCCAGGCCCACCTCAATACCCCTGAGAAGAGGGCTCACAGCAGTCCTGTAGGCTGGGAGGTTGGACAAGTACCAGGCAATCAATGGGCTAGAGGTCACTGGAGTCTCCAGGCTTCCAATGAAGGGATCACCATTGATGGGCTGAATCACTTGGAAAGTTGGCTGCAAGTGCAACACATAATATCATGTTCAAATGGCAATGCATATACATCAAAGTTAAAAATGATGTATAAGAAGAAGAAGAAGAAGAAGTAGAGTATTATTTACAATTACAAAGTGTAAAGAAGATAAAGAAGAAAGAAGTAAATTACTTTTTCAGATTGGACGGCCTTGATGGTGAAGGAAGAGAGTCTTTTAGAAGGCAAGAGGCTTAGGGGAGAGGCAGAGAGGCCTTTGGGTGAAACCAAAGCAGCTCTAGTGATTGGGGAGGTGAAGTTGGATTTGAGCTGGCTGGCCATTGGTGAAGCAGAGGCCATGACTTTGGTTTGGTCCAAAGACAAGCAAATATTGGTGGGTAGGAGTGGCAGAGCAGAGCAGAGAGAGTGAACAAGTAATATTTTGAGTTTTGCAAATTGCATCGGCAGGCAGGCAAGCGTCAAGGATGCTGTCTTGTGGTGCTCAGAGAATCCTCCGATTCCATTGGATGAGGTGGAACTAAAACCTTATCCCTTTATCCAACTAAACTAATCTCTTCATTTTATTTGTATGTGGTTGGTCATGCTCATGCTCATGAAAATGGGTTGCTTACTTTGCTGGGTTTGGTTGGGCTGCCCCAATGCCATTCTTTTGTCCTTGGTTTTTGTGTTGGGTTAGAACTTGGAAGTTAGAATGGGTTGGACTATTTTAGTTGGTTTTGAATGATGGAATTTGGGCTTGACCCACAGAAGAGATGATAGTTCTTCTGAGAAGCTTCCCTCGCTGAACATAAACACCTATTTATTTGGTTATTCTTTTCTTTGGATAAGACCTTTTGACCTTTTGACCTTTTGAAAAAAGAGACCAATTCCAACCGACGTAGTTGAATCATTAGACTTGTAGGATGGGTTCAATTCAAAACTTTGAACCAAAATATTAATAGACTGATTCCCGAGCCAACCAAATTCACATATCAATGTTATAATCGTGGTCATAATTTAATAAAAATCATAACAAACAATTGTTGTAAGTAACCAAAACCCTCACAAAATTGCGGGTTTACTAAAAACAACAAAACAACAAGGAAAACAGAACTCAAATGAGCAACAGAAAAAAAGTACAAAATGTTTTATAAATAATGAGGGGACAAGTCCACAAGAACCTCGGACCGACTCGTAGAATCCAAATCCAACTCCCCCAATCCCAAAACAACCCAAATCAAAGTTTCGCGTTTCACGTTTCCCTTCTCCTCCTTTTTCCCTTCTCGCGTTTCACCCCTGAAAAAAGAAAACATAAAGAAAAGACACACGAAACCTGAGAAACCCCCGTCCCCTCCAACGGCGTCGTATCGTTGTTCCTTCCTTCTTCTCTCCTAGTCTCCCTCCTCCCCCACCTAAACCAAACCATCAACTCCTCCTCTTCTCTTGTTCGTGTTACTATTAGCAAACCGCTTTACGCTGCATTCTCTATTCTCTGCTTCTGCCTCTATGTCTGCATATATACAACCCCCACTACCAGAAGAGAGAGGAACAAAGAGAGGGATGGACCAACAGAAGAAGCGCAACATGAACAACGACCACGACGACGTTTTGGAGCCTCCGACCAATTTCTCCATGGTCGAGGACGGCATTTTCAGATCTGGTTTCCCGCAACCATCCAATTTTCCTTTCCTCCAATCCCTTAATCTTCGATCCATCATGTAAGTCTTCATTTTTACACACGCACACACACAATGCATGTATGTATCTATGACTATGTGCGTGTGGTTGGGTGAAGGCCGCGTTGTGAGGTTTTTGGTAGCTGACAAAGTCAGGGAAAATACTATAGAATGACGTGAGAAAGGAAGGAAAAGATAAGACAAGAAATCTTTTTCTATCTTTATGTCTAAGTTTCAGTGTGAACTAAGTATTGTTGCATTGAATAATCTGATTAGCGTTCGTAATTCTTTTCAAGAATTTGTTTGATTGCTTAGGTTAAGAAATTGAGGGAAAGAAGAGCAAGAAACTAATTCAGAGTTGTTTTTAGAGCAGCTTCATCTTCACTTATCAAATCGAAAGAAAAGTATCGTGAATTTCCTGGCAACTAAACCGAACATAATAAATTGGTTTATTTGCTTTAATCAGAATGTGGCGTTTATTGTGATTTATTTTGGGATTTGGAGCAGATATTTGTGTCCTGAGCCTTACCCAGAGGAGAATTTGGAGTTTCTTCGCTCTCAGAATATTCAGCTCCTCCAATTTGGAATTGAGGGGAAGACGGTAATATTCTCTCTCTCTGTGCTTTTCTTTGCTAAAATTTTTCAGTTTACATCTTCTTGTCAGATCCATATGTTCCATTTACTTGCTATTAGTATATGCTTAATTGCATGCATGTGCACATCCGTGCTGGTAAATGTCTGAAATGCAGTTTTACACGTTCATTGAAATGGCGAACATTATGCTTGGCCATGACATTTGATGGAATATGAGCTATGTATAATGTGTTGATAGGTTTATGACCATTTGTATATGCAGGAGCCTTCTGTATCTATTCTTAAGGATACCATCTTGGAGGCTCTGAAAGTCTTGATTGGTATTGGACTATTATGACAGTTCTGCCTTTAATTTTAACGTTAGCTTGTATTTCTTAGTTTCTAACATGAAAACTTTTGTGTTTCTAGATGTGAGAAATCATCCAGTTTTAATCCATTGCAAGCGTGGAAAGGTAAATTTTTTAAGCTCTTTTTAATATTCTCAGCCATTCATATGTTTTGTTTTACTGCTACCTAGCATAGGAGCCAGTCTGTTGGTAACATTATCATCAAACTAATGCCATTCATATCATATGTCGTTTTTTTTTTCAATAAACAAAATGCTGTCATGATTGCAAATCATGTTTCTTCATCAGTCATTTCAGCATCCGTTTCATTGTTCAATGAATCAAAAGAAATTTTTCAAGGAACATAATTTAGAGTACCTTACTGGGCAATATGGTTTGAGATTTTATTTTCTAGAATGAATTGGATTTTCTTTATGCAAACAATGTAAACATTTACTTCTGATCATTGACCATTGTTAATGTTATAGTAGGATGTCTAAGCAAATTGGGTCGTCTTTTAAAGATTAGTCTCTATCATTTCCTGAAACGGGTAGGGGTAGGGCTCCGCTGCTTAGCATGCTGATGCATTTGTTGACAGGGAGAGATCATTATTTGAAGACTTTCTCTTTTCTTAGCAGGTAGTTTCTCTGTGTTTCTAGGTTTTAGCCAGGAGTCATTTTTGAATGGGCGGAAAACACTAATCTTCTGCATAATTTAACAACTTCGTATAACAACACATAACATATTCGTAGTAGTATCATATTAACGCTTAGATTTTGGATTATGGGAGTTCTCACCTTCTGTTTGTAATTTTGGTTTTACAGCATCGGACGGGCTGCCTTGTTGGTTGTCTACGAAAATTTCAGAATTGGTGTTTGTCTTCTGTGTTTGAGGAGTACCAGCGATTTGCTGGCATGAAATCTAGGGCAACAGATATGAGGTTTTTAGAAGGATTTGACACATTGCTCCTGAGGCAGTGCCTTTACAGCATTATCTACCAGTATCAAGGTTATGGTTCCAACAAGAGACGGTTGTTATACAGAGAAGACAATTTACAGAAGCCGCAAACCATGAAAGTTTAACGTATGGCTTGGAGGGCCCTTATCTTTTTCCTTTTCTTTCTGGCTTTGCTATTAGTCACTCACTTAGACCCCTGTTTCTGTTTGTGGCGTAAAATATCCGCCCACAGTTATTCCTTCTCTCTCTCCCCCCCCCCCCCCCCCCCCCCTCTTCTCTCAAAATCCTCACACACAGCTTCTGGTAAAAAATTCCATTCAACACTTTCTTCTTTTTCGTCTTCCATGGTATCTCCATTATTTGTTTGGGAAATATGGTGGCAATTGGTCCAGTCCAGTGCAGACTACAGACCAATTTTTCTGTGCAGTTACGTAATGCTCTGTCTGTACTACAACAGTTTTAGGTTATTCTCTTTTCTATCTGTTGATAAAGACGGTATCTTTGATACTTTGGGAATTTCATTTCAAGGTCTCGGTCTCTGTCTCTTGTTTTTTTATTTCAAGAGATAAAGCATTATTGTTGAATGTTTTATAATTCCGAAGATATTCATAAAGTTTGGACTTATTCTACCTTAATATTGTGGGTGTGCGTGTGTTATATAATACCATG